CGATCGATCCTTACGAAATCCGGCCTGTTGATCTCGAAGTTGGGCGTCTACGAAGTCCTTCATTCTGTTTAACAATACCCTGTTGAAGACCTTGCCTGGTATTGAGAGAAGAGTGATGCCTCTGTAGTTTTCACACTTGCTGAGATCGCCTTTCTGTGGTATTTTGATCAGGTATCCTTCTTTCCAATCTGATGGTACTTGTTCCTCATCCCAAATCTTCTTGAAGAGGATGTGAAATATTTTCGCAGTTGCTTCTACATCTGCTTTCATTGCCTCTGCTGGAATGTTGTCTGGTCCTGCTGCTTTGCCGTTCTTGATTTGTCTGTTGGCCATACTGATCTCCTCAATCGTAGGTGCGCCAATATTAATTAGGAGATTCGTGGATGCTGCTTCAATATTGGGTGTCTTCAGAGGAGCTGGTCGATTTAGGAGTTCCTTAAAGTGCTCTACCCACCTATTTCGCTGTTCTTCAGTGTTACTGATTATTTTCCCTTCCTTGCTTTTCACTGGTCGTTATGGTTTACGATAGTTTCCGGCGAGCTTCTTTGTAGTTTCGTACGATTGTCTGAAGTTTCCTTCTCTTGCAGCCTTTTCCGCTGTCATTGCTAGATCTCCCACATATTTTCGTTTGTCAGCTCTGATGCTCTTCTTCACTTCCCTGTTTGCTTCTGTGTATGCAGCTTGTGCCTTAACTTTCTCTGCTCTTGTTCGGCTGACATTGATTGCTGCCTTCTCGTTCCTCCTTTCTTCAATTTTTGCGAGAGCATCAACAGAGATCCATTCCTTGTGATGCTGCTTCTTGCGACCAAGGACCTCCTGACATGTTGAAGTGATTGCCTCCTTAATCCCTTTCCAATTGTTCTCCAATGTTGCGTCCTCTCCATTGTGTAGATCCTGAAAGGCCTGGAACCTATTGGTGAGGGCTATCCTGAATTCGTTGAGCTTTACAGTATCCCGAAGAAAGGCCGTATTAAACTTGTGTGATGTTGTCTGTCCCGTTGTCCAGTGCTTCTTTAGTTTAAGTTTCATTTTGGCGATTAGCAAATGGTGATCTGAGGCTATATCAGCTCCTCTCCTGGTTCTCACATCCTCCATGGTCCTTCTGAACTTTTTGTTGTTACAGATATGGTCAATTTGGTTTTGAGTAGTGTGATCCGGTGAAATCCATGTGGCTTTGTGAATGCTTCATGACCAGAGTATAACAGCAGTTCCCCTGAAGCTAGTCTCAGTTGTCCTACTTGTGTCCAATGTGTTTCACTGATGTCGAGCACCTCGAGGTTGTATCTTTTCATTTCTGCCGCAACTTGAAATAGTCTTCCAGTCTCCCACAATGTACGAACGTTCCATGTACCTAAAAAAATGGTTGCTCTGGTTGTCAGAAGAGGCATCGGCCCCGTGACTTCCGAGGGAAGTCGGCTTTCATCACGAGACGTCATAATTCTTCCTCCAACTCCCAGGGCAGAGTTAAAATGGTTTGAATTATTTTTTCTGGTTAGCGTTTTTTTGGCAAGTTAGTTTTTGACGGAATGGGGTCGCCAACCCCATGTCCAACCCTCCTCTTTTACCCGGGCTTGGGACCGGCAGTAGCCCCGAAGGTTCTACTGGCGGAGTTAAACTTTGTAATAGCTCTGTAATAAGTGTAATTTTTGTGCAGTCACAGTTTAAAAAATCAATGAGCACCAAATAAATTATTTGAGTCTTCTTAATAGCGAATGGATTAAAATGATTGCTATTCTAGTGATGAATTAAAGTATTTGCTCCCAATGAGGTGCATTTGTAGTTGATGAACAGCTTTTATGTACACACTGATTTTGTTACTGATGATATCAGTTTAAGAAAGAAAATTTTCCTTAAATCATAACAATTTTACACATACCAATCTATCAGCTAAAGTAAGTGGGTAATTTTCATTTATCAACATGGCCGTCACAGAAAAAAAACGTAGAATCTAACTAACTAGGCTACATTTTATCAAAGCATATTATATAGATTGTTCAATGTCTCATTGTTCATAGTACAGAATGCACTTACGAAAAAAAATCATTAAAAATTAAGAAGCCACATTGGGAATCGATTGAATTTTGAAATGTCCTGACTTAGTTGTTTAAAGATTAGATGCTCACCATAAAGGCTAAAATGGTCTTGAATGCGTATTGCTGAGAAGTTTTCTACTGGAATGAACTACTTGTTCAACGCTCCTTAGTTTTCTATAGTTTTCCTATTAAAATCAGGTCATGATGTTTACTGATGCATCCTATCAGTTGGATTCTTTCATTCAGTTCGATTATTTATTGTTTTATTTTAATTATTTTTGCTATACCATGTTATTGATTAAATTATTTTTTGACTCAATGCGTCCATTCATTGTCTTCTATCAAACTCTAATCTTTTGAATTTCTCATGCGTGCTTATTTTTCGCTGTCTCTCTGTTTTTTAAATTGATTCCTCTGTGATATGCTTTTTGAATTATAGCTGCGATCACTAATCTTTTTGATTACTGCTTATATTCCTACTACTATAAGGATTTGAATTGACAAATCCATCTCTCTGTGTGTACTAATGTGGGATGGAATGACAACTTGAACTGATGTACACAAGTACGAAGTTTTTCGTTGAAGCTGACTGACTTGACAGATTGCTAGACAATTAATTGCTGCTGTTCTATACGCATAACATGAAACCTATCTGTACTTGCTAGGCATGAGGAAAATAAGTTATTGATTCCGAAATGTGTATATCTGTTAGGATATTCATCCAATATCCTAAGAGAATTATTGCTCAATTCCTATTGGTTAGTTCCTACTGGTCAATTTTATGGTCGTCCTAGATATCAATGTCACGTGCTCCAATGTTGTTTCTTATTGGTCATCCTGAATTTCAATCTCACTTCAAATGTTGCTTTCTATTGGTCGTCTTAACTGTCAATGTCACAGACTGTTTCCTATTCAACCTAAATGTGTAAATACGCATTATGTGTAACGTTTTATGACCTGGACCAGGACCGGGTCCCGGATCTCTAGTTCGGGATCCTGATTCTCTTCTGGACTCGGACTTCGTACTTTCTGGATGCTTGTAGAATACAGGTTCTACTTCATCTCAAGTCTTCTTATTTTTACTCAGTATGGGGGTTCGGATAATCGGATTTGAGTGGCATGTCGTGTCACCGGATCCTCGATCCTCGCACTCGTTTTTCGACTAGGTAAACTCGTAATAGTTCAAGCATATCAAATGACGTGTTTATGTGTAGGCGTAACAATACCGTGGATGAAAATGGTTTCATTCGGCTTAATATCTATCAATCTAGTAATTATACAATCATTTCTTTTGGCAATATCAACACTCAGTCATATATGCATACAACACAGAATCTGGCCGGTATATGTATACATCAATTCAGGTTGTCACATTATAATTAGCTCAACGAGATGTTGGAACAGTAAAAGTGCTGATAGTATCAAGGATAGTGGAGAATAAATATTATACATAAAGGTTATGATGAATTTAGAAGAAAAATGAGGATTTGCACAGTGAGCATGTACAAACCATGTTGTAGAATGGTTTTGTTGTAGTGAAGTGTTTGTAAATAAAACAGCTACTTTTTTTGACAATGATTACATGTTTGTTATTTCCAAATCATTGCTTTCAAATTTGCTCTGTAATTCAAGAAACACGAATCGATAAACTAAGTTAGATTGAATGTTATAAGTACTATTAAATTTATAAACTCAATACTATATATGGTTATTATGTTGATTCACATACTTTCTTAATTAAACTGTACACAAGAGTACTCTTTTATACATAAAGGAACTGTCATCGATAAACTATCTGCATATTCAGGTCTACAAGAGAGAGAGAGTAGTGAACAATTTTGATGCACAATGAAATTGGTTTAGACAAAATGATTTATCCTTTCACTCAACTTACATATATTACAGAAGGCTCGATTGGCTTTTGCCAACCTGCCTCAATTATGGCGTAGGCGAGATATCCGTTTGCTGACTAAAGGACGAGTGTACTGCGCAGTACTTCGCTCAGTCTTACTTTATGGCTGTGAAACAGGGCCAGTGAGAGTAGAAGATATTCGTAGGTTACTGGTTTTCGATCATAGGTGTCTTCGAAGCATTGCTCGTATATCGTGGGCCAACCGAGTGAGCAATGCTGTTATTAGGAAACGGGTGCTAGGTAAGGATAGCAGATCAACAGGTGAAATATTGAAACTTCATCAGTTGAGGTGGTTGGGACATGTGTTGCGTATGCCGAACCACCGACTGCCTCGTCGAGCTTTGTTTTGTAGTGTAGGAATAGGTTGGAAGGAAGTTAGGGGCGGCCAAACCAAACCATGGCAGAAATCCATGAAGTCATTGACTAGTGGACTGAGCCGTGTCGGTAATTGTCGACTACCTGGTTGGGGTCCGCGAGATGATAATAATCGATGGTTAGAGACCTTGAAAGACATGGCTCAAAATCGTTCGCAATGGCGCCGGTGCATTTATTCTATGTGTTCTCTCAAATCCTAATCTTCTGGGTTCTTCAACAACTCTAGTTTTGACTTTCTAAACTTATCTCATTGAATCATACTTCTTGAATAATATCTTCTTATCCTAACCTCTCCGATTACTGATAATACCTTTACTACCTCTTCTACTATTGGATTTGAATTGACAATTATATCTTTGTGTTGATGTGGTATGGTAACACGAATTGATGTACTTACGTACGAAGTTCTACGTTGCATCTGACTGACTGACCTATATATATATTATAGGATACAGTTAGTGAAAAAATGTATGGAATGTGTTGTTGGTGATTCTAAAGTTTAATGATTGGTCAATTTTTTTCATAGCCCTCTTGAATTTGAAATCAACTGTGATACATTTATTTTTACAAGAAATCAATGATTTTGAAAGATTGCATTTTTTTTTTGAATTATCACAGTCATCAGTTTCAATTGTAAAAAGTATCAATATCTTTTCTTTTTTTTTTGCCATGATTTACAGTTATTCAATCGTCCTAATACTATGTTTCAAACATTTAAATTGGATTGTCCTGCAATAGAGAAACGAGATTTTGTAAGCTAATTTTCTCATATTTAACATATTCGTTTATTATTTAATCAGAATTTTTCATCATCTGCAAAGATGATAACAAAATTATTCCTAGATCATTTTTGTACGTTGAAAGAAGTGTATGTATCATTTAAAGAATAGTTGTGTGTCTGATTGACTGTGATGACGTTTAGGAAGTTGTTGTTTAATGATTCAGGACTGTTTACATAGTATAAAACTTTTAATGTAGACGATGATAACCTATTTGAGATTTGACATACTATTAAAGTGCCTGAAACAGTTATCTGATGATTGTTATCATCATCAACAACAACGTAGAACTTTGCACGTAAGTACAGCAGTTCATGTTGCCATACCACGTTAGCGCAGAGATGTAATTGTCAATTCAAACCCCATAGTAGTAGAGGTAGTAAAAGTATTAGAAGTAATCGGAGAGATTAGGTTTCAGAGATGTTATACAAGAAGTATAAATTAGTGACGTTAATTTAGAAAGAGAAAGATAGAGGTGATGAGGAATTCAGAAGGTTAGAATTTCATAGTACACAAAGAGTAAATGCACCTGCGCCATTGCAAATGATGTAGAGCCATGTCACTCAGGGTCTCTAACAAACGATTACTTTCCTCTCGCGGACCCCATCCAGGTAGTCCACGCCGACCTACATGACTCAGTCCACTTGTCAGTGACTTTATGGATTCCTGCCATGTTTCAGTCTAGCTGCCCCTAGCTTTCATCCGACCTATTCACATATCGCACAACATTGCTTGACGAGGCAGTCGGTGGGTAGGCATACGTTACACATATCCCAACCACCTCCTCAACTGATGAAGTATCACCACTTCATCTATTGATCTGACATCCTTACCTAGTACTCGTTTCCTAACGACAGCATTGCTCACTCGGTTGTCCCAGGATATACGAGCAATGCTTCGAAGACACCTATGATCGAAAACCAGTAACCTACAAATATCTTCTACTCTCACTGGCCATGTTTCACAGCCATAAAGTAGGACACAATTTGATGATTGTGAATAACATATTGTAATTTACTTTGTCCAAAATAAGAAACATGGAATCAGTCTGTCATTGAATTTCATTAAAAGCTACAACATATAGCTTAAAATATGGTTTACACAGACCAGGAACTCTAATCATTAAAATTAACGGCTTGAGAAGCATTATTCATGGGGATAAGAATTATTAAGAATTAGAGGGAAGGATTTTTATTATGTGAGCAGGTTGATCTTGTATTCTGTTAGGAGTATAAAGGTGGTTGTCACTTCCAGGCTGCCCCCCCCACAGAAGAATATTTTTTTCTTGAAGGGCCCGAAAAGAAGGCTGGGTTAGTACTGGATGTATTGACCTGGGGGCGTGACCACAGAGCCAAATGGACGACTTCTTGAGACCATTCAAGCACGGCTATTTCATGAGGATTTTTTAGAGTGTTAACTCCACTCTTCAAACGATTTTATTGCTAGAGACAGAAATCCATGGGGTAAGTTGAGGTGACATTTTTAAGGTCAACGTTTTCTAATTATTTTTCTTCTGGCGTCACCACAGATGTTTGTTGTCTGAGGTAAACAATTTACTGCTGTCACATTTCTCTACAATCAGCAGTGCGACTTCTCCCTCAGACTTTAAGTTACTGCTTTTAGTCTTACTGTTCTGCCTGGTGTAGTAAGACCTAAAGGAACAGGTGTTCCAGTCAATATAGTTCGGTTAAGTCATTACGATAGGCAAGCCCGATCACCTACTACATCAAGGTAGCAACCACGATCGGGTAATACCAGTAATCGCTTATCTAGGTAAGTTGTCAATATTGATTCCTGTCATTTTTTGTATTTTTAACAAGCTAAATTATCTCTAAAGTATCTGCTATTGACCTCTAACAATAATTCAAATAATATTTAGCTCTAAAGCTAATAAACTTTTTATCAAGATTTCGTATAATCTCTTTCATTATTAGAAATCTATTTTTTTTATGTATTTTTACAATTGTATTTATAGAATAATAGTGCTGCGTCAAAAGTTTACAGTAGAAAATTATTTATTCCAACTTTGACAACTCGACCACCAGAACAACAAGATGTTTGTGAAATTTTGAGAAAACAATTAAAATTCCACGATAATAATAATAATAATAGTAATAATAATAATAATCTTTATTTATCTAGTCATTATCAAGAAAAAATTGATCAAAAAGAAAATAATTCCCCATCTGATAATCATTCTGCATGGCAACCTTTATCCCCACAAATAGATCATGAATTGCGTAATTCAGAACAAAAAAATCGTAGTCTACTCACTAGTATTCTATTCGAACTACCTGAAATGACAGCTGATTTCTATCTTCCAACAACCACAACAACAACAACAACAGCGATAACAACCACAACTACAACTAGTCAATTGACCGATTCTTCAGTATCACTTCGAGATCATTCTGATAATGATATAGAACATAAAGCGGCAATATGTCATCCCCGTAGTAATTCATCAAAACGTATGGGTTATTATATTGAGCCACCTGAAGAAAAACAAACTTTTCACGATTGGGTTACATTCGATTGTAGCCCATCTACATGTCATTCATCTGAGTAAGTTTTTTTTTTTTTAAAAATATTTATTTTATATTTTATACATACCTGGTATCTTGTTTACACATGATAAGATTGGAAACATCGATTCCAAAGAAGATATTCGAAATTAATAATTACGAATGGCGTCCTTGTCATTTAACATCTCCCAAAATAGAACGTAATAATGTAGATGCCTAAAGTAAATTCAGCTTCCACACTTTGTAGTGTCCAACTTCATACTGAAAAACGGCCATTTACATGGTAATAGACTAAATATAATGAGATTTTTGATTTCTTTTTTCTTTCTATAATCTACACTCTGTTCTGACCGACCAGTTGTCTACTATTATTGAAGTGAATAGCACAGACTTATTCACTTACTTACTTACTTACGCCTGTTACCCCCAATGGAGCATAGGTCGCACACCAGTTTTCTCTAACCAACTCTATCCCTCTCCAGTTCTTTCCAGTTTTTGTTCATTCTTCTCATGTCTTTCTCTATTTCTCGGCGTAATGTGTTTCTTGGCCTTCCTCTTTTCCTTTTGCCTTGAGGGTTCCAAGTGAGGGCTTGTCTTGTGACGCAGTTTGGTGCTTTTCGTAGTGTGTGTCCTATCCACTTCCACCGCTTCTTCCTCATTTCCTTCTCCACTGGAATCTGGTTTGTTCTCTCCCACACTACGTTGTTGCTGGTGGTGTCTGGCCAACGAATCCGAAGTATTTTGCGTAGACAACTGTTAATAAACACTTGTATCTTCTGGATGATGGCTTTGGTAGTTCTCCAAGTTTCCGCTGCATACAGTAGAACTGTTTTGACATTTGTATTGAAAATCTTGATTTTGGTGTTGATTGATATTTGTTTGGAATTCCAGATATTTTTTAATTGTAGAAGTGCAGTCCCTGCTTTGCCGATCAGCGCCCTCACATCTGCATCGGATCCACCTTTCTCGTCGATGATGCTGCCCAGATATGTAAAGGTGTTAACGTCCTCCAAAGAATCTCCATGAAGCGTGATTTGGTTGGCGCATTTTGTGTTGTATCGAAGAATCTTGCTTTTCTCTTTATATATGTTGAGACCTACTGCTGCTGGTCGTCTTCTTTTTCATTTGTTGTTGCGTGTGTGGTAGAAGAGCCAGATCATCTACGAAGTCCAAATCGTCCGGCTGTATCCTGGCTGTCCATTGGATACCGTGCTTCTTTCCAGGTGTTGACATCTTCATAATGCAGTCGATCACCAGCAGAAAGAGAAGGGTGAGAGTAAGCAACGTTGCCTGACACCGGTCTTCACCTCGAAAGAGTCTGTTAGCTTTCCTCCGTGTACGATTTTGCAGTTGAATCCATCATAAGAGTTCCGTATGATGTTAACTATTTTCTCAGGCACACCATAGTGTCGAAGAAGTCTCCACAGTGTTTTCCTGTCCACGCTATCAAATGCTTTCTCGTAGTTGATGAAGTTGATGTAGAGTGGTGAGTTCCATTCAATTGATTGTTCCACAATGATCCGTAATGTAGCGATTTGATCGATCCTTACGAAATCCAGCCTGTTGATCTCGCAGTTGGACGTCTACGAAGTCCTTCATTCTGTTTAACAATACCCTGTTGAAGACTTTGCCTGGTATTGAAAGAAGAGTGATGCCTCTGTAGTTTTCACACTTGCTGAGATCGCCTTTCTGTGGTATTTTGATCAGGTATCCTTCTTTCCATTCTGTTGGTACTTGTTCCTCATCCCAAATCTTGTTGAAGTGAATGTAAAATATTTTGGCAGTTGCATCCACATCTGCTTTCATTGCCTCTGCTGGAATGTTGTCTAGTCTTGCTGCTTTGCCGTTCTTGATTTGTCTGATGGCCATGCTGATCTCCTCAATTGTAGGTGCGCCAACATCGAGTGGGAGGTCCGTAGATGCTGCTTCGATGTTGGGTGGGTTCAGTGGAGTTGGTCGATTCAATAGTTCCTTAAATTACTCTACTCACCTATTTCTCTGTTCTTCAGTATTGCTGATTACTTTTTCTTCCTTGCTTTTCACTGGTCGTGCTGGTCTACGATGGTTTCCAGCAAGGCTCTTTGTTGTATCAAACAACTGTCTCATGTTTCCACATATTTTCGTTTATCAGTTCTGATGCTCTTCTTCACTTTCCTGGTTGCTTCTGTGTATTCAGGTTGTGCGGTAACTTTCTCTGCTCTTCGGCTGACGTTGATTGCTGCCGTCTTGTTCCTCCTTTCTTCAATATTTCAAGAGTACCGACAGAGATCCAATCCTTGTGCTGGTACTTCCCACGGCGTAGAACCTTGTGACATGTTGAAGTGATTGCCTTTTTGATCCCTTTCCAATATTTCTCCATGGTTGTTTGCTCTCAATCGAGTTGATCGTGCAAGTGCCGGAACCTATTGTTAGGGTCTATCTTGAATTCGTTGAGTTTTACTGTATCCTAAAGAAAGGTCTTATTAAACTTCCGTGATGTTGTCTGCCTCGTTGTTCAGTGTTTCATTTTGGCCATCAGCGAGTGGTGATCTGAGGCTATGTCAGCTCCTCTCTTGGTTCTCACATCCTCTATAGTTCTTCTGAACTTTTTATTGGTACATATATGGTCGGTTTGGTTCTGAGTAGTGTGATCCGGTGAAATCCATGTAGCTTCATGTATTAGTTTGTGTGAGGATATTGGGCCACCGGTGACCAGTTTGTTGAATGCACATAGGTTTGCGAATCTCTCACCATTTTCGTTCCTTTCTCCCAGTCCATGTCGTCCCATGATGTCTTCATATCCAGTGTTGTCCATGCCAACCTTGGCATTTAGGTCTCCCATCAGAATTGTCAAATCCTTTGGTGAGCATCTGTCGACGATTGACTGCAGCCTTTCGTAGAATTGATCTCTAACATCGTCATTAAAGTCATTGGTAGGTGCATAGCATTGGATGACGTTCATTGTAATGCCATCTTTCTTTGCTTTGAAGGATACTTTAATGATCCTGGGTCCATGACGTTCCCATCCTATTCGTGTCTTTTATTATTTTTCTGATAGCATCAGTGCTACTCCTTGTGTATGTGAAACACTTTCCTCTTCATGACCAGAGTATAATAGCAGTTCCCCCTGAAGCCAGTCTCAGCTGTTCAACATGCGTCCAATGCGTTTCACTGATTACAAGCACCTTGAGGTTGTATCTTTTCATTTCTGCCGCAACTTGTAATAGTCTTCGTCTCCCAAAATGTTCGGAAGTTCCATGTACCTAAAAGAATGTTTCCTCTGGTTGTCAGAAGGGGCGTCGGCCCCGTGACTCCCGAGGGAACTCGGCTTTCATCATGAGACGTCAAAACTCTTCTGAAGGAAAACGAATCTAACTCCCAAGGGAGAGTTAAAATGGTTTGAATTATGTTTTCTGGTTAGCGAGTTAGTTTTTGCATGTGGGATGGGGTCGCCAACCCAATGCCCAACCCTTCTCCTTTATCCGGGCTTGGGATCGGCAGTAGCCTTAGAGGGGCTCGTGAAGAAGTTAATAGGATAGATAGTTATTATAACTAGTTGTAATTTCGATGCAATTTCCCAATGTAAATTACAATTTGTTTTCATTAGTCTTTTATATTTCTCATTCATTTATTTATACGTATTTTAGCGATCTTATTAATTTGACCAGTTCCTCTTCGAATTTATCCAATACATTATATGCGTTTTCAGATGAAGCATTTGTAAGTGTTATTCAATTATGAAAAAAAATACTATTAAATCATATTATTATTTAAGATTTTTTTAATTAGGTAGAAAGAAGTTTAACATTATTGTGTTATAAATAATACACTTCTTAATTTCTGAAAATTATACGTGATATAATCTTCTTTTGAAATCATGAATCGATCAATGTTAGACCATCATTAGAAACTTGGAAGCACTAGACGGCCGTTTCGACTTGGTATGTATGGGATTCATAAGCAGTGCGCATCCACGACTCCTGCGACTCACAGGATTTAAGTAATTTGACTACCCTTAAGAATTCTGGATAAAATTGCTGAACAAAACGCTGAAATTGTTTTAATTCCGATCGCCCAGATCATTTCCAGTATAATTTTCACAACTAAGGTCTTCTTTATACTCAGAGACTGAAGGTCCTAGGTTGGATCCCCTCGTGTGATGATCATGAATGTGCGCTGTTGATCAGTCTCATACTAGGACTAAAAGGACGTCCAGTGCTTCCAGGTTTCCAATGGCAGTCCAACGTTGATCGGTTTATGATTTAAACTACGGTAGAAGTTAAGGTCTTGGTTGAAGGTAGTCAACAAGAAACCCTGAACCCAGGTTTTATGCTACACTGCACTTGACAGCAAGATGTCCTCATATCGTCTTGAGGGAACTAATGCTCCCTGGTTGATTTGGTCTCAAGTCAACCATCCTCATAGTAAGAGACGTTACTACTAAGCTCTTCGGGCAAGCGACTTAACTCCTGTAGGATTGAGAATTCATTCTATCAACACCAAAAACTTGATATACACGAATTTTTCCAATATTCACTAGTGATCAATCAATTGTAAATAGTATAGGTTGAACTATTTCATGTTTTAATTCATAGAAATATATATGTTAACTAAAAGTACGTATGAAAAAAAGTGTAGTACGGTTCAGCTAGTTAGTTTCACTTCTGTCATCTAACAACAGTAGTTTTTATAATACATTGCTCGTTCGCATTATTATTTAAATTTGGTTTTTTTTATCATATCAGCAATAATTCACTAGCATATTATACACTAACCAATCAGGTGTTGATCAAGTCAAATTAAGGTATAATTTTACTCATATATATATATATATATATATATATATATATATATATATATATATATATATCTTAGAAGACAAGCATAATTAATCACATATTGGTTTCCTTTTTATTTTTATCTACTCAAATCAAGTTGAATTCTTTATCAACTGCTGATAGCAAACCGATTGAATGTGATCGTAGTCAAATAGAACAATCAATTCTAGATGAATTCGACCAATTATCTGTATCTCGAACAAGAAATACATAATTGCCCCTGAACTATATTTCCAATTACTACATGTATATGTTTTCTTTTTCAATCATTATGTTGCATTGTATTTTTTACGAATGAATCTCTGTTGTTGTTGTCTGTCATCAGTTTGAAATCTTATTCCATTCCGCTTGAAATTGATCTAATCAGTATGTTTATCATTTTTCTTTCTTTTTATTACGCAAACGGAACAATCGTCTTTTTTTTCTGTTATATTTTAACATTTACTTGCTCAAAACTATTATTTTACTCTTTGATAATATTTACCATTTCTAATATTTGATACTTTTTTTTAAATAGTTGATTGATATTTTCTAGTGATTATTTTGTGTATATTGAACATTTAAAACAAATGTTAACTTGATAAAAGAAAATTCTTTAATTCGAAAATATCTGCACAAAATTTTGAGCAAGTTAGTTGTATGTAACGTAGTATGTGACATATATGAATAACGAATCAATGTGTTGCATGCATTGTTAGTACAGCAAGATTCCCGAGTAGTATAAATGGTAATATTTAGTGATATTGGAAAATATTAAACATGAAACATATAATTTGAAGTATATATAGATTTGTAGGAGAGAAGTTATCCTCAAGATAATTAAGAGGATAAAAGGGAATAAATGCATCTGCTCCACTGCAAACGATTCTAAGCCTTGTAGCCCATTTCCAAGCACTGGTTGTGATAATCGTGTGAACCCCAAACCAAGTAATTTGAAATTACCTAAACGGTTCTGTCCAACAGTCATTTACTTTACAGACTGATGAGCTGTTTTTGGTTTTATCACCCCTAGCTGTATTCCTACCCCAGTAATAATCATCCATTGAAATAGGCGATGTTTGGGGGGTATATGATACATGTCTCAAACACCTTAGTAGGCAAACATTCACTACCCTATGAACTAATTTGCCACCCTTAGCTAATACCCTAGTCTAACCTCAGCATTTACTCACTCGGTGGTCCGAACATGTACGCGCAACAGTTCAAAGGTATTTATGATTAAATACGAACCGCTACACTCATCTATCGGTTGGTAGTAATCATTGTTTAGTGATACTTCATAATTAAGGAAAATTATGATTCGTTATGAGTATGTAGTGCATTGCACTAAAGCTGTTACAATGAGTCTACAACGGTTGATTGAAGTGAGAAAAATAAAATGACAACTACTACACTTACTGGATTCACCTAAAAGGTTATCCATTATTCACTGCTTTGAAGCTGTAGCAATAGTGATCTCATGAACCTGTGAATTTTTAGCTGAAAATATCAATAAGACTTAATGACAAATGTGAAATTTACATCGATTAATTACTGAATACTAGCGATGTTATATTTATCTTGTGTTTAGTGTACAGCTTATTTCGTCATAAACAACATCGAAACAATACTAACCGATGGTTAGAGACTTTGAATGATATGGCTCAAAAACGGTTGCAATAATGCAGGTGCATCCACTTTTTGTGTTCTCTCAAATTCGAATCTTCTGAATTCCTCGTCACCTCTATCTTTTTCTTTCTAAATTTATCTCACAAAATTATACTTCTCGAATCATATCTTCAAACCCTAATCTTCTCCATTACTATTACTACTTCTACTATCTCTATCACTATGGGATTTTCACTGACAATTGCGTCTCTGTGGTATGGCAACCTGAACGTACGAAGTTCTTCGTTGTAATTGACTAACTTAACTCAAATAAGTATTGGTTCAAATTCCCACACATCATCAGTAAAGTGAGGTCAATCAATTTTTAGAACAACAAAAAAGATCATGTGACTCAAGAGTAACATATTCGTAGAATAAAAAACACAAGATAATTTTTTTCAAATGCTAGATCAACATGAAGACAAAAAGTAAATGCATTAATGATGCGTGCAATCATCGTCTAAATTAAGCAAAACACATTATCCTTTGGAAAGCCGCCCATGTTGGTATTTAACCAACCATTTTTTGTGTAACCATCTATGTATTTGCAAAAACGGATTCATAATGGAAGTATTAAGAAAAATTCATTTGAAAGATGGAAAAAGAAAACAAAGTGCCACATACACATACCCAATATCCTATTAGTTGTCAATAGTTTTGTGAATGAATACTTTCTGAAGAAAAACAAGCAGACTGATCATACAGTACTATTTATAATCAATAAAAGTGAAAGTATGTAAAAAAAACATTCTTTCGCTTACTTCATGATATAATAATTAAATTTTGTAAAAAAAAAATGCAGGAAATATATGTTTATATTAGTTATAAAGTATAACAAGTAGCAGTATAAATGCATAACATGATAATAGTGGGATATATATATATGTTATTAATTCCAAGTAAATATGAAAAGCATAAGAGATCAGCCATAAAAATGAACGAGACCTTTTTTCCCCATGATAGAAGGCACATTTGTAGACTGAGAAGTCGGATTGTATGTAACCTGTGAAAAAAAATAAACATAAAATAAGCATGAATAGAACTTGACTCAGTCAGTCAGTTACAACGTAGAACTTCGTAAGTAAGTACATCAGTTCAAGTTGCCATACCGTATTAACACAGAGGCGCAATCGTCAGTTCAAACACCATAGTAATGGAGCTAGTAGGAGTATTTGCAGCAATCAAAAAGATTAATGATCGAATATTTCATTCGAGATGTATACCCCTGAGGAATAAATCAAAAATAATCGGTCATGAGGAATTCAGAAGATTAGAATTTGAGAGAACATAAAGTGTGGATGCACCCGCGCAATTGCAAACGATTTTGAGCAATGTCATTCAAGATCTCTAACCATCGATTACTATCGTCTCGCGGACCTCAATCAGGTAGCCTACATCTACCAACATGACAGTTCACTAGTCAGTGACTTCATGGATTCGTGCCATGTTTTGCTCTAGCCGCACCTAGCTTTCTTCCAACCTACTCCTACACCGCAAATCATAGCTCGACGGAGCAGTCTATGGTTAGGCATCTGTAACACATGTCTCAACCACCTCAACTGATGAGGTTTCACTACTACTGCAACTCCGCCTGGAGCCCCTCCGGGGCTACTGCCGTCCCAAACCCGGATAAAGGAGGAGGGTTGGGCTTGAGGTTGACGACCCCATTCCGTAGAGAACTAGCTCGCTAAAAAACGCTAACAAGGAAAAATAATTCAAACTATTTCAACTCTCCTCTGGGAGTTAGGTATTGGTTTAGAAGAGTTATAACGTCTCATGATGAGAGCCGAGGTCTTTCGGAAGTCGCGAGGCCAATACCCCTTCTGACAACCAGAGCCCTTACACCTCGTAAAAGCACACGAGACTAAATCGGTAACAATCAAATCCTAATAACTCTCTTACTGCCACGACCAACCCTTCTTTCGTTCCTTTGTCACCTCACGCCACTGAAGCAAACGTTTCGAGCTCACGAAACGTATCTGAAACCCCGCTTTAAACCACATATAGACTTGACTGACATAAATCGTATGTACGTTTTCAAAATAAATAAATTTCCAAGTGTTCTCTTAATCACCATTTGAGTTAGGAGTATAAAACAAATTGCATTAGATTTTATATGGACGTCTCAGATTCAAATCGGATTGAACAAGTTAGTAAACAAGTCATTCTCAACTACAAACATCAGTTACACATCGATAAATGTGTTCGTCAGAGACTATTTGTCCACTGAAATGGAGTTTTGGATTTAGACACACTAATCCTAGGTTATTAAGTACAATTTAACAATCTGTTTAAAATTTCCATGTCCTCAAATAGCATGAAATTAGTAGAACAATAATTGTTTAACAATTATGATTAATATTACTTACTATAACCATTACACCTGAACAAATTGATTTGTTGATAATATTTTTTTAAGATATATTCACTAGAATACTCATTTTCAGAGCATATCTGGTACACTGACATGACGTAAATGTTTATGAGCATTTGTTAATTCAGCAAACAACTTGTTTATATCAACTGGATTCAATTGTGACTGTACTGATAATTTAGGATGAGAAGCCTGAAATAATAAAAAATACAAACATGAAAACTATCAAATGGTAAATTATCCAATGGAAATAAAGAATGATGCTTATTAACCATGTACAACTTTAATTATGGATAAGCTACAAACAAGATTAAGTAGTTTTGTGCAAGAAACTCCTACATGTTATATTCATGTATGTGGTACAGTTGTTACTACCATAATTGAATCGGTTATTCAGGCTATTATAACAGAATTGATACATTGTTAAACTTGTTTATAATAATGAAGTTCACGTACAGACAGATAGTTTTGTGTACAAAAATATTCATTCTATGGGTGTGCATGTGTGTGATAAAAGTCTCTGAACTAGTATCATTGACATCAGAGACAAAGATTTCAACAGAAATATTATCATGCAGAAGATAACTACAGACAAAGGCTTTATAATTCATATGAAACGCACACCAGGATTACTTCCATAAACAATCCCTACTATTTTTTATAGTTGAAAACAAGAGCCGATATGGACTAGATCACTAATAGAAACCTGAAATCACTGGATAGCCATTTAGTCCTTGGAATAGACCACCATGGCAGTGCACAACTTCGAACTCTGAATACGAACACAAGCACTTTCGGTTTCGCGAGCGAACGTTTAACCTCTATTCAAATGAGCAAATATCGTGATCGGTGCAGTTCTATTCATGTTGAGTGGCAGACAGTCATTCGTCAAAAGATGAAGGTTGGATTCATTGAAGTTAGATATTACCACTATTGGATACACAATAATAAACATACAAGACGTGTGTAAATAACAAAACTGATAATCTTTGAAATTCAAAACATTTTATCACCTTTGTTGACGTTTTTTCATGTGCATTAGTACGACTCTCTTGCAAACACTGAACTGGACGTATTTCAACAGTAGGTAAAGGTAGTTTTGGGCCGTTATTATTCCATTTTAAACCGTAAGGAAAGTGTTCTTCAACAACTATGCATAATTCATCTACACAAGAGAGCCATGAGCGTAACCACTCAACATGTTCAGGAAGGCTATATAGAAAAATTACAGCAAAGAGGACAGTAAACTAAGCACAAATTCGACTATTTCATCAAAAAAGATCAATAATAAAAGGCATTTATTAGTAAGTTTGGCAGTGCACACAATACATCTTCCTGACCAAGTGGAAGAAAACGTAGTGGAAGATAATCATGCCTAATAAAACCAAACAAATGATGATTATATTCATAAACATAAGTTGGAAATTTTCAATTCCTACGATTTTGACTACTTGAGTTGGCATTCCACTATACTGGAAAATATTAATCAGTGAATCAGAATGATGTAAATTCATTTAATTTCGAGGATTAAAGGTGGCATAAAATAAATGTCTTATATTGATGATTGCATAGCTATTGACCGAATTGATTTTAAACCATTAAATTAATTTTTTAAAACAGTATAAATATTTGCTCGTTTGTCTGCCAACTCTTAAAGAAGTTGAAAAGGTTATTTGTAGTGTGAAGCGAGGGAGAACAGCAGGACCTGATGAATTAATTCATGAGATTCTTAAGGATGGTGATCCCGTCTTGGCAGTTAGGCTAACTGAAATCCCAACTAAAACCTGGGAACTGGACGTCATCCTATCTAACTATTGTTGACAGCTAATCGTCCCTACCTATAAGAAAAGACAGAAATCTCCTTTTTTGACAGTCACAAAGGAATCAATCAGTCCAACTAATAATACTTAAACGCCTAAGGCACTGACAAACACGCTCTCTTACTGCATGATCTGAATCTAAAAATATTCTCCAGAACTAGTGGCAGTTTTCTTTTGAACCTCTCCATCGGTGACTCACATCAATGTGGTCTAGCTGGGTCCGGCGTTGTGGGGGTCGTGTCAAAAGATATTGTCCCTTATGCTTTAGTCGGAAATAGGTTATCTGTGCATAGTTGCAGCAGATGGTTGCTATTATCTGTTCTTTGAGCTGCAACAGCATTAGATCCACCTAGGTCTCGTAATGTTTGGAGAAATCTCGGTATGAACATGAAAGCGCGACCGGATCTTGCGTCACCTGTGTTGTAGGCGAGATATCCGCCTGTCAACCATAGGACGAATTTACTGTACAGTTCACTTCGTTCTACTTCATGGATGTGAAACATGACATTAAGAATTGCGGACATTTGTTGGTTAATAGTATTCGATCATAGGTATTATTCGAAGTGCTCCTCATGTATTTTGGGACAACCGAGTGAGCAATAGGAAGCATTTGATTGTAACCAATTTGATCTTGTGTGCTGTTACGGGTATGAAGGCAGTTGTCGCTTCCCGGCTGCCCACACAGTGGAGGGGTGTTTCTTGAGAAACCTGAAAAGGAAGGTAGATTAGTGTCTATCTTGGAGACCTGGAGCGTGACTGCTTAGTCCAAGGGACAACTACTTGAGGTCTGGTCACGTACGGTCTTTTTATGAAAGGTTTTTCGAGTATTAGCTCCTCTCTTTTTAAAGCCCTTATTGGGCAGCCATTACCTATGGAGACGGAAATCCGTCAGCTAGGGTGAGGTGTGACATTTTTAGGGTCGACCTTTTCTAACCCTTCCTTCCTTGTGAGAAGGCAGCATCGCTGCAGATGCTGGTTGTCCGAGGGAAACACCTTACTGCTGTTCACACCCCTCTGCAGTCAGCAGTACGACTTCGCCCTCATATCTTGAGTAGCTGATTTAGTCTCATCGTTCTCCAATCGACCTGCCTGGGCATGGTAGAAACTTCAGGAACATATGTTCCAGCCAATGTAGCTCAGTTAGGTCATCACGACAGGTAACGCCTGGGTTAGGAACAGGGCACTACGTAAACATGGCAAGTCAATTGATGAAGTAGTGAATCTTCATCAACTGAGGTGTATGAGAAATGTGTTACGTGTGCTCAACTGTCATATACCTTGACGAGCGATCGTATGTGGGGTGGAAGTAGGTTGGATGAAGCTAGGGACACAGCACCCGTTTATGAAGTCATCGACATTTGTACTGATTCGTATTAATAGATGCTGACTATCTGTTTGGAGTCCGCGAGACTTTGAATGACATGGTTTAAAATCGTATGCAATGGTGCAGATGCACCCATTCTGAATCTTTACCCGAATTCCTTATAAGCTTTTTATAGCTTTATCGTTTAGAAGTTTTTGCCGACGCTTAATCTTCACCACTTCACAAGCCAATAGACAAATTTATCCAGTCATATCAAAAACTCTTAGAGACCCTTAGGAGTAAATAATACATCATGCATAGATCGAATTCCCCTGTTGGGTTAATAATAATATTTAAACTTTTATATACCCAAAAATAACTTACCTCCCACGACAATACTGAAAGACTTTGTTAGCATTCAACCATGTGGAATCCTTCAATTCTTTCACGTATTGCAGTGCTGTACTCTAAGATTTGTTATACTACGAACCTATAGACTTACAGACCCAACCCAATTCAGTATAAGAATAGAATCTGCAATAGTTGATAATTGACATTTCCGTACAGACATCGCTCCAACCTTGAAATTCTTAACTTCATTTAAGCTATTAGAGAGAATTAACTTACTGTTATTTCAATTATCTTATAATGAAGAGGTTTCAAATGAATATCCATATCCTCTTCACTCGGTTTACTATAAATACTGGATAATTCAATGAGATCCCTGACGAAGCCAAAAGCATTTTGAACACATAAAGACTACAAATAAACAACAAGTTTTATTTACCTGAGATTGTATGTTTCCTCCCAACTTTCTACTACATGCAATGTAATTCTTTAGGCTATTAGCAATAAGTGATTCAAAAGCAATCAGTCCAGTAGTTTTTTCTGTATAATGAATTAAACCATGCAGCACCTACCTGGAATCATTGCTTGCGCTATCTTTTCAAGCCGAACAACTATGGACTCCAGGCGATCACAGAATTCTACTCGATTGAGAACACCCAGTAAAGAGGATGTATTATTGCTGTTGCCATCACACAATAGGTTCACTTTTGAGGCATCGATTCCATCAAGCTGGTGAACAGCAGACCAGTCACCTAAACTTGCTGAACCTCCGTCTCCAACACCAGGAATATGACTAATAGTTGACAGTGATAAAGTCTCCTTAACACTTTCATCCTGGTCAATCTGTTTAATATTGTCTGGGTTTTGCTTGTTTACACAGTTAGTGCAGTTCGGAATCACCATCTTTTCCACGTTTACGATGACGTTTATGACAGGAGAGATATTTTAGCCAATTGCTAAATAATTGGTATGAAGAATGAAAAAGACTAACGTATTTCTGCTCATATGATTCGAAAGCTTGTAGTGATATTCCCCTAACTTGAGGGATATTTGAGTTTTGGGGGAGCGTAAGGAATAAAGTTTGTGAGAAAAGCTTGAAAAGAAAATCGTGAACTGATAATTGAGTAGGCACAAAATATTTGAATACTAACTAATGAAAGAAGACGATATAACCAGAAATAGTACATGCATGATGTAAGGATAATGTCGCGACCAAAACTATAAGTGCTAACATGATGTTTCGAACACGTTAAAAACTTAGCAGTGGTAACGCACAATTTAAGGCAATGCCTTTAGTTCCGATGTCCAGTCCTGAAGTATCAAATGGTTTAAATGGTAAAAATGGTTCGAATAGTTCAAATGTTTGCAGACTAAAGAAAAAACTTTTTTACTGAATAGGATTTAGTATCTGGTAGCGATTGGTCACCTTTACTCGAGGTAGAAACCTAGGTATATTTAAAGCGTAAAAGCCAAATATTAGTAAGTTATGGTAAAATACAGTCTCAAGTCCTGGAAAATATGTCAGGTTTCTTCTTGAAGGACTCCAGAGAACTGTTTACCACCTTAATTAAGTACAGAATCTGACTACTCGTAAGGAGTAGTATGAGTGCCTGAAATTCATTTCGCCAAATTTAGCCTCTAGTTTTTGGTATTTTCCCCAAGGTTTTTGTTGAGAATGGGCTCGCTTGGGTAACTTAGGAGGTTCTTAGGAATGTTGAAAATGTTTCTAGTCACTAGAAGGCCATATCTGAGATGCCTGTACTATGGCAGTTGAATGTCTAATGACTAGAAGAGCTCTCGGTGATGGTTGAACTTCAGTCCTCGAACTAATTGTGTGCCTCGCCTTCTGATTCATTCGAGTGTTTGCTCTTTCTTCGGAGTGAGGTGGAAACACCGTATTTCTACGCTCTAAATGTGGCCTAATAAAGCTGTTAAGGAATATTCAGGACGTCCTACAATCCAACTACCCAAAATGCGCTTTAACGTTATTAGCACAACATTTACTTGAAACATACCATTCTTTGGCAATAAGCATAGTTGGTCCATGGATTCATGCTGGTTCGTATAGCTTGTTTTCAAGTGAACTCCGAATCCATTCTGAAAAGGTTCATCGATTGAGCTGATACATTTTGCTTGAATAAAGGGTTCCAGTCACTGATCGTTCGATGAGAAAAACTGAATGCCGCTCCAAGTTTATTCTTTTCATATATATTCCAAATTTTTCACTACTTACACTTACGAAATATTTGACATGTTTACTAAATCAAATTCCAGAAGTGTTTCCTCCTCCATAACATTCTTTGGGTCACCTTGTAATAGTAAAGATAATAATATTTTGTCCTCAAACAAGGAAAGACGTTATGTTGTTTGATCGCTATAGTATATCCAGCATGGACGTCTGAATCGGTTAACCCCTAAGAAGTCATCTCTGTCGAATAGACTTGGGAAAATTAGTCTGAGAATACCCAGGTTCTACAGTATTCGTAGTATTACCTCGTACAATCCTTGGAAGCTTTGGAAGCATGTAGAGCATGTTTTTGGATTGTGTGGTTCTGTCCGAGAAATGTAAGCTTAGTTACTGCTAAGAGAATTTCAATTGATAATTACAGTAATTTACAATCCCATAAGAGAAACGAATTTTGCAACGTAGACGAACTGATCTGAGCATTTTGAATACCTGAGTATTTCCCTTCAGATGACCACTTCTGATTGCGAGAAATACATGAGACAGCAATGTCAGGGTCAATGTCTAGTGTGCTGTAAGGCTATGTAATATCAGCGCGATTTTACTGGGCAGAACAGGTTGTCTCATACTCGTTTTGAAGACATGACTGAAAACCACTCCGCAAATTCATGTCGAACACTGATTGTGAACTCTCAGTTTTGATTGATTGCACTTACATTTGATGTAGATGTGCAGTCCATAGCAAATGGTTCCACTCAAACATTATGGATGTTCACAGGCTTTTATCCTAGAAGACTGGTAAATAGTCATCCGTAGAATGCCATCAATAAAATCAGCATGCACCGAGTCGACCACCAGTCGTTTGTTGCGGTGCAACCGACATTATTAGCTCTAA